TCGTGCATTTGTTGATTTCAAAGTCCATTTTTTAATTCCAATGAAAAGCAGCGCACCTAGCCAGTGGAGGTGACCAGGCACATTTCCAAATTGTAACACCACGAAAAGAACATAGGTGCCTGGTCTTCCTCTGCACCTCGGATTCCACATCGCTCTTTTCACTTCTTCCCACATCCCAGATACCGCTTGCCGGTCTCCCTCTCCTTTCTTCTATTGCTATCGTCTTGTAGCATACTAGCAGTCCAGCGCACATGTAGAACGGACCATTTCTACTTCTGTATGGTATACAACAGCACGTGATTCCTCTTTCCTCCCTCTCTGGTGTCAGGTGGGCTAGCACACCCACTGAGGGCACAACTGCATGCCCCGTTGCTCATCGGAGGAAGAAAATAAAAATGAATCTTCACCAGTAACATCGGCAGATGCACTGCCTTATTTTTCTCTTTCACACCCTCCTGGGCCGTGCGTCACTCTCCAGATTAGTCAGATGAGAATGAACCGGCCCCTAGAATATAGAAAGATGCTTCACCATATCCTTTCACGTCGTTGTGCTGCAGGCCTGCCCCTTTACTCTCCAATTGATGAAGCAAGAACATCTACGGGTATATTCATTCTTTTCTATACTCTCTCTCTCTCTCTCTCTCTCTCTCTCTCTCTCTCTCTCTCTCTCTCTCTCTCTCTCTCTCTCTCTGGCTGGAGCTTCGTTCACCTATAAAGGAAATTAGGATGAATCTCCAGCAAAAGCATGGAGAGAGGCACCGCAGCTGGCAGCCCGCTAGACCAGTCACTATATGAGGGAAAGAGAATGAGTCTTCTGCAAAAACGTGAACAGATTCACTGTAACAGGTCTTCTTTTTTGTTTTCCTTCTGTTGCATCACCACATCACTCACTAGATGGTGAACTGAGTATGCATCCTCAACAAGAACATGGTCAGATAGACAGCCATATGCCGTTTGCAGTGCGTCGTGACCCGGTTCCACCAGTCATTTCCCGTCATTACTCCCATCTTCCTCTTTGGCTCCCACCTTCCCACCTCCCAGGCTGCATGCTTCCCTCTTCCTCCTTTATTCCCACCTTCCTCCTTTGCTCCCACCTTCCCACCTCCCTCGCTGCATGTTTCCCGTCATTTCCCGTCTGCTTTTTTTTCCTTTCAAATCAAATAAAGGAAACTCCCACCTTCCCGCCTCCTGCTCCTTCTCCCGCTTCTCCTCCTCCACCTGTACCTCCTCCCATTCCTCCACCTCCCGCGCGTTCATTCACCCCCTCCCCGTTTGCCCTACCGCTCCTCATCCCGCTCCTTCTCCCGCCCCTACTACCGCTCCTCCTGCCCCTCCTCCGCCCCTTCCCATTTCCCCTCGCGCTCCTTCTCCCGCTCCTAACCCGCTCCCCATTTCCCCTGCCGCTCCTCCTCTCGCTCCATCTCCTGCTCCTCCTCCCGCGCCTCCTCCGCCCCTTCCCGTTTCCCTTCCCGCTCCTTCTCCCGCCCCTCCTCCCGCTCCTCCTCCCGCTCCTTTTTCCACTCCTCCCGCTCCTTCTCCCGCTCCTCCCGCTCCTCCTCCGCCAAACAACGTGACAAAGACCTCGCCATAGCCATCTCCTACGACAAAAAAAAGAAAAAGGCCTGCCACGTGGCTAGGAGAGAGAGAGAGAGAGAGTGAGAGAGAGAGAGAGATAGGGGACAGCACACGCACGCAGGCTCGCCTCTCCGCTGATCCGTCAATGACACCTCTGCACGCATGCCGGCCCTTCTGTCCACTGGTCTGAGCGTGGCAATGTCGGTCAGTGTGTGTGTGTGTAGGATGACAAAATCGGAATGAATCTTCAGCCAAAACATGGAAATATACTCTGCCACACTTTTTTCTTTTCTTTCTTTTTTGTTATTTTGTGTGTGTGTGTTGTTTTGAAAGACCCCTGATTCTCTCTCTCATTCCCTTCACAGATCATCACAAGTCATCCATAACGAAAAAGTATAGATAGGTAATATAATACAAAATGCAAGGTTGGCCACGTTTGTGTGGTTCAGCGCCAAGTGCCAAAACACAGCGCCAAGTGCCCAAACACCCGATTGCCGCAAAAGTGGCACTCTTGCACATATACATATGTATACATATACATTTCAAACCATAAGGTAATGGAGGGCAGAAGGCAACTTACCTAAGACAGAAGACTACTCCAGCAAGCAGGCTCCCCACCAATAAATGGAGTCTCCCGAGCAGTGCTAGTGGTGTCTGCTCTTATCAGGGCCCCTAGCACCCAATCGGGTTCTTAAAAAAAATAAAAAAAATAAAAAAAATAAAAAAACCTCCAGCATGCACGCACCGACCCGACCCCTGCAAAGGTCCGAATAAACTTGAGTGTGTGTGTGTGTGTGTGGGTGTTTGTGTGTGTGTGTGTGTGTGTGTGTGTGTGAGAGAGAGAGAGAGAGAGAGAGAGAGAGAGAGAGAGAGAGAGAGAGAGAATAGGTAAAGTCTCCAACCTCGGGACTGGCTTCACGGTACTTCCATTATAGGATGAGCAAAATTGAATGAATCTACCGCTAGAACATAGAGATATACATTGGCATATTTGTTTGTTTGTGTGTGAGTGCGTGTGAGTGTGTGTGTGTGTGTGTGTGTGTGTGTGTGTCAAAGCGCGCGCGCGCCAGAGAGAGAGAGAGAGAGAGAGAGAGAGAGAGAGAGAGAGAGAGAGAGAGAGAGAGAGAGAGAGACAGACAGACAGAGAGAGAGAACAGGTGAGTCTTCAACCTCGCAGCTGGCCTCATGGTACTTCCCTCGTCGATAGGATGAGCAAAATCGGTAGTACTTCCCTCGTCGATAGGATGAGTAAAATCAGTAGTACTTCCATCGTCGATAGGATGAGCAAAATCGAATGAATATACCAATAGAACATTGAAATATACACTGCCACACTTTCTTTTTTTCTTTTTTTTGTCTTGTGTGTGTGTGTGTGTGTGCGTGTGTGTGCGTGTGTGTGCGTGTATGCGTGTCTGTGTGTGTGTGTGTGTGTGTGTGTGTGTGTGAGAGAGAGAGAGAGAGAGAGAGAGAGAGAGAGAGAGAGAGAGAGAG